ACTCTTTCTTCCTCTTTCTCCCTCTTTCTCCCTTATGCTTCAAAAAAATTTGAGCAAACAATAAGTTTCAATACCGCCGCACGCCAGCTGTGTTTGTAACTGGTTACATTTTTTTTTAAATGAAACGGCTTCGAAGACTGAGAAGATCAAATGAAAAAATGTAAATATTGACTTCATGCAGATTAGTGGTGGTAATCATGAATCAATCATGAATAATCATGATTGATTGAGATAAAAGATTTCTAATTGTGACAAGAACATATATTGTTTTATTGCTGGAACAGAAAGGAAAATGTGTTTTTTTTTTATTATCACTAAACAAAAATGTTAATTTTTAATATAGTAAAATGTGAAGAAAATTATTTGGAAATATTGCAATATAAGTTTACTTAAAAGCCTGTAAGTTTACTTAAAAGCCACTTTTAAGTTTACTTAAAAGTGGCTTTTAGAACATTTAGAGTTCTTCTAATCATCTGAGTCAGTCGTAGACTTACTGATGGGGGTCTGACGACAGTGTCTGGGCCTCTGACCTGATGTTAACGTTTCCTCATGCTAAGTGTTTAGAGGGTATTTAAAGATTTTGGTGCTTCTGTGAAACAAATTATTTTTCCATAAGGTGTTTACATAACAATGACAATGTGTATTTACTTTACTTTTGCAATCTATGGTGGAAATATAGGATATACAGTGCATGTCAGTCTACCTGTGCATTAAAATGGACCTGTCCTGTGGCCCTACTAAAAATACTTTACTCGTGTAAAATCTATTCACCCAAACTCCTAGGGATTTTTATTTTTTTGATCCCACTCTGGGGAAATTCCTGTGTTAACAGCAGATGTGCTGCAACAAGCTGCCCCATGGAGGCGCCAAGTATGTGGTTCCTCAGGGAATTGAACCCAGGACTTTCTGCTCTTCTGCATAAAAGGCAGGCTTGCTAACCGCTACACTTTAAAACCACACATACAGCAGTTGGAGGATGTGGGCAAGTGATTTATTATACACAAATAAAATGTATTCATGGAATAATAAGGTTGAAATCCAAATCAATTCTGAAAAGAGTCCATTTCTTTTTTTCTGCATTTTAATCTGAACTCTGAACAATTTCCAGTGATGGTTCATTAAAGGCGCTGTGGTAGAAACAAACAGAATGGCATTAAACGGCACATTAAAAACACTCCCCCCCAAAAAACAAAAAAAACAAAAAACAAAACTTATGAAACATTCATCAGTAATCCAACAGAGAAGAAGCTGTTCCAAACTAAGAACACAGCAGATGGGTGGCTCTAGAATCCCACCCGAATGGGGGCCAAATGGTTCCTCTAAATTCAGAGCAAGTGCTCAGTTACAATGGTGCAGTAGCAGCACAAGTTCAAGTTTAATGATCGCGCTATACACATCTTCCTTACCCTACTCAACACCGCTTTATTCTCTTTGAGTTCATTTCGTGCTGTTATGATTATTGGTTAGTCTGGTTGGCCTTCTTTTTTTTCTTTTTTTTTAAACCCTTTGTCTCATTTTTTGGAAGCATTTTTTTTTTTTTTTTTTTAAACCCTTTGTCTCATCTTATTTGTAAGCACCTTTAAAAACAGCGACTGTCGCTTTAAGTTTCCCTTCCTGGCCACAAAATTTTATTGGGCCTAGAGTGAAACTGCCACAGAAAAATGATGCTTGCGAGCCATGCAAAGGTTAGTTAATCCAGTGGAATGTAATTAACCAGACGTATTGCCTCCTTTTAATTGCTGGATCTGCCCCTAAACGTTTCTGCGTGAAGGAGAGAGCCGTGCTCCTCTGATTACTTTCAAGGTGTTTCACAGATTACAGGCTCACTCTGCTTCTGGGCTGGTGCAGCTCATCTTCACACGATGGACTTTTTTTCATAAATGTCTGCCCATGCAGCATCATGGACTTCGCAAATGGCCGTACAGTTCATCGGTTGAAAGTAGAGATGGACTGCTTTGTCAGATCATCATATTAAAATCAATGATCCACACACAATACGCGGGCGATGACCGTTTTCCCGTCCATACGTGTGCACCCTTGATAT